TAATTCTGACTCCGATCCTCACAATCTGTGTTCTTTCTCATGAATCGTAAAAGTTCAAAGATTTTGACTTGACTCGGCTGTGGATCGAACCAACAAACTATCGTGTCAGAGGCGTCCGTCTGTCCGTCTCGTATTAGGTTAAAGGTTAGATTTAAGATAGTTATTAAAAATAACTTTGATAACATAGGCAGTTTACATATTATACTTAGGACAGATACAAAAATGTTACGATTCCTCAAAAGTTAAGAACAATGACTCCTCTGAGAGGTCAATTATGATTTCAGTCATATATCAATATGATATATAGATAAGAAGATGTGGTATGAGTGCCAATGAGACAACTATCAATACAAGTCACAATGTTTAAAAAGTAAACAATTATAGGTCAAAGTACGGCCTTCAACACGGAGCCTTGGATCACACCGAACAGCAAGCTATAAAGGGCCCCAAAAAGACTAGACTAAAGTGTAAAACAATTCAAACAGGAAAACCAATTGTTTAATCTATATAAAAACGAGAAACGAGAAACACTTATGAACCACACCAACAAACGACAACCATTGAACAACAGGCTCCTGACTTAAGACAGGTGCATAAAAATGCAGCGGGTTTAAACGTTTCAACAGGCGCCAACCTTCATCCTAACCTGAAACAGTGGTATAACATTACAACATAAAAAGACACACAATAAATATCAATTGAAATGGCTTAACTCGATCAAAAAGACAATACACAAAAACAAGTAAATATACACTGATCGAATAAGTTTGATATATGACACAATATAAATAAAAGATGTTTCAATGTCAAAAAGACAACTTTAACCTAGGACAAAATGGCGTTAAATAAAGTAACGTACACAGGTAAATTTAAATATAATAATTTTGTTGTTAGTACAGAAACATTTTTTACAAAAAAAATTTGTTATTCATAGTACGAGTACAAAAGTTCATACTAAATACTTATTAAAGGTAGTACATATTAAAAATAGTAAGACGAGATATAACACAAAATATGTAAACATTGAATAACAGAAATGCATTACAAATTGTGTCAACAGGTCAAATTAAGACGAAAGTACGATTTGAGAGTACTCGCAGTTACTGAAAGCTAGTTAAAAGCCGAAAACAATTAATAATAAAAATCATGCATCAGAGACTAAAATCAATTAAAACACATCCCAGGCAGGGATTTATCGTTTTAACGCCATGGACAGTCAAAGAAGACATGACTTGTGCAATGCCAAAATAAAAGTAACGACAGGCAGTAGGATAGTTAGGATTTAACCTTATAATAAATATGTAAGATGTTATGTATAGATAAAACAATTTCTAAATAGAAAATAAACGTGGATGTGTATATATGTTACAGTGAATTTGTATAATCAGGGATTATGTAGAATCCCTAAAATTTTCAGGGATTATGTAGAATCACTGGTTAGTTTAGGGATTATATATAATCACTGGAATTTTCAGGGATTATGTAAAATCACTAGAAAAAACGTCAGGGATTATGCATAATAACTGAAATGAAGAAACAGTTTTGTGTATAAAGAAAATGAATGAAAGTTAAAAAAAAATTTTCTATCAAATCAAATTCAACATGTTAAAACTTCATAATAAACATGATTTGTAAAATGTTAAGCACAATACATGTATTTATTAAAATGTTTGGCACAATTTATTAAAATGTTAAGCACAATATATAAAAATGTTAACCTTCTTAATATATATAATTAAAGTGTTAGTCATAATATTTTAAGATGTTACACAAAATAAAAATATTAAGCACTAGATATTAAAATGATAACCTCAATATATATCATAATGTTACACAATGTATTAAGATGGTAAGTACAATATATTAAAACAATCATTAAATAAATTTGGATGGCATCCACTATTGCACATTTGACCTGCTTTTCTACGGGCACTTCTAATTGATTTGCATCTTTTTTTATCACATTATCCACATTTAAAAAAACCTTGTCCTTCACATATCGAATCAGATTTTATGGAACTAGTAAGAGAAATAGTTTTCAATACAAACATCTGAAGGTACCCCAAAAAAAGGAAACAGCAGCCTTGAACTGATTTTTGGTGTAAGATCCGAGCAGAATTTTATTGTATTAGTTCTCTCAGTTTGAATTTCATGTTCATGTTCATTTATCCCCTCTTTGCACAACGCCTCCCATCCCAACGAATCAATCACTGATTTGTTATAAAAAAAAAATAGTATACCAATGAGACGCAAATAGTATAAATGTGCATATTATAAATGTTACTTTTGTTTTTGTATATCTAGTTATTACAGCTATTTCTTTACACAAAATATTTTTTCTTCAGATATTTAAGATTATGTTTTTTTAGATCCATGCTCAATAACCCCCACCCTCTCCTATAATAATGAAAAATGCTGTAAAGAGTGTAAAATGTAAGAAATATAAAGGATAGTAGCCATGGTAGCAGCATAAAATAATTTAGATATTTATTTGTCAGCAGATAGTAATATTTTGTCTTCTTTACTCGGAGTTCAGTATTTTTGTGATTTTACTTTTTACTAGGTTCTTTTGTCATCAAAATAAAAAAAACACTGTATTTGTTCCTTGTCCATATCTTGTATATTTTTTTTCCTCTGCCATTATCATTTGCTTGTGAAATAATGTGGTTAAATAGTTGAATAAAACTGTTCACTTAATTTGATTTTTGTTATTATTGATAATCCCTGAAATCGTATTAGGGAATTTGTAAAATAATTAGTAAAATGTTCAGTGATTATGTAAAATCACTGGTCAATATCAGGGATTATATATAATCACTAATGAGTTTAGTGATTCTACATATTCCCTGAAAAATCAGGGATTCTACATAATCACTGATTATACAAATTCACTGTAACATATATACATCCCAAAAAAACCATTCGAAAAGAATACTTTAGTTATGTTTTAATTTTGTTGATGACAAAATCGATGTTAGTGCTAATGAAACAATATTCAAAGATCTTATTACAACATTAATAAGAGAACCTTTACTAATAAGTTTGTTTAAAGGTTCGTATATTTACACGGATCACATAGTGATTTCCGCGCTTTTAGTACAATATTACAGTAAAATTTAGGATGTGAGATACCATTTTAATAAGTTTTCTACAGGTACAGCCACTAATCAAATCTTTGTATCAAGCACATTTGCTCTTCCAAGTGTTATTTTCAATGTCAAGCAATATATGTAGATGCCGCTGCTGGTTGACTGCTAGTTGTGCTAGTTGCGATGTAACACTACTGTCCCGGGTTTAGGGGAGGGTTGGACACTCACAAACATGTTTAACCCCACCACATTCTTTATGTGCCTGTCCCAAGTCAGGAGCCTGTAATTCAGTCGTTGTCGTTGGTTCGTCTGTCATATTTGTTTTTTCGTAAATTGTATTTTATAAATTAGGCCATTAGTTTTCTCAATTGAATTGTTTCCCATTTTGTGACCTATAATCTTCGTTATTTGAACTCTGGTGGGTAGTTGTCTCATTGGCAATCATACCACATCTCCTTATTAAATATTGCTAGTCCTCAAAGGCATCATTAGCTCAGTAGTCAGTGCTATACATGGACATTTTTGTTGGTATTGCTCGCTTGGAAATTACACAAAATCAATCTAAAAATAAGCTAACGTGTATCTGTTAATTTTTATCTTGAAACTGTTGATTATTTAAAACCGCTTCGAAGTGCAAAAGTTCTAAATGTCCTATTAGAATCGAAATAATTATATTATGCCAGTCTCTATGCTAATTTTAACATGGGTAGGCATTAAATTTGTCAACATTTTACACCTTGCTAACGTTCGGTGTAAAGATATTGACAAGTATAATGCTTAGCCATGTTAAAATGAGCATGGAGCATGGCATGAAAGAATTATTTCTTAAGTAATCTATAAACTAAGGTTCCAAATATCTTCAGCAAAGTTGACCTTAGGTAGATTTAGCTTTTCTCTCTAGGTAACTTTTGGTGATACAAAGCACTTCAAGTCTTCATGATCAAGAATTTATACATCCTTGGCTTTCAAATTATTGAGTTTTAGTGTTCATGATGGTGGTAAATCCCGAAAGCTAATCGGGCGTACACAATTTATGAAGTATTAGTGCCATGTTTTACCATGAAATTATTGTAAGATAATTTTAAAACTATAATGTACACGTTTAAAAAAATATGCCAAATTAGGGCTTTCACTAAGATTTTGCGCTTTACTGAACATAGAAATGTAATACCGGTAGTACGTGCGGCCACACATTCTTGTTTTCTACTAATTTGGTGTTGCTCTTTGATCTTGTGTTTTAAGCTATTCACAATACGTCTATTGTCGAGTTAGAACTCCACATACGGCGTTGACAGCTATCATTCGTTGGGTATCGTCACATTGTTACTTATAGATATTAGCTTGATCTGTTGGACTTCTGGTTAACTGACGTTATTAGATCGAAATGAAAATATTGAGTTTCGGTGCAAGTAACAACAAAGGCGACCAAACAGAGAGCACTTGGCGAAAAGGGTCACAACACGGCCTCCTTTAAGGATCAACGGACCATACCTCAAGGTCTGGAACAAAAATAAAGACAACTATATAATTTTTTAAATGTCTGTTTAAGTGTATTACATTTACTGTGTTCTTTGAAAGCGAGCGACGAGCAGGAGACAATATTTACTGACAACTCGTTTCTGGCTTCCGACTGGCACATACAAAATATGATTTAGTTTCTTTGCGAGCGTTCACTGACTCTTTTTCACTGGGTCAGTGTTTTTATCCAATTTCAAAATTGCTATACATGTATTCATAAAAAAATCCCCCATAGGACATAATACTCGCTACTTTAGTTAATAAACAAACATTTATAAACAAGTATACGTAAAGTTTTACTGAGCGATATCAATCAAAGCACTTCCTAAACGGTTTAGTGTATTTTATATATAATTAAGAAAAAATTCACCAAATGTAAGAAAAATACATACATCAAAGTTTAAATATTTTAATATTACATATTTTAACATTAATACATGTATACATATATATTTATATATCAATTTATTTTTAAATCTGCCTCACTGAAATCATACTATTCCAACGCGTAAATAAAACATTCATCTACTGGAATCATAGTCGTACACACACATACACATACTTACGAACACATACAAGCATACTAGCACACATACATGCACGGACTTTCAAGCTGCACATAAATAAAATGGATTTACATTTGGATTTCCTATCCGTGAAGAGAAAAAAAATAAAATATAACAACAAAACAAAAAATGATGAACAATCATGAGGAACCAGAATTCCTCTGTCACGGCACTATGAGTGAAATTCATATGTAGAACAAGCTATCATGAAAGTTTTTGTTGACTATGGCAAATATATGAAATGTTTTGAGGTTTGGGTGACGATGAGGAGGTATCTTCATTTTTTACATCAATGTTTTCGTTAATAACGTCAATTTTGGGGGAGTCTGTACTCCTTTCTGAGAGACAATCGCTGTCATCATCTTCATTGTCATTTGATTCATTTAACAAGTCACGTGATGGCAATGTGTCGTCTGTTGCTTTGGTACTGGTGGAGGTAGAGGCTGAGTCTCCTAGACGTTTTGCTGCTTCTTCTTCTCTTTTTGTTTTTCGCCATTTAGCCCGTCTATTTTTAAACCAAACCTATAAAGAGAAAAATATATTTCATTTCTGTACAGTTGGCGAAACTAGATTAATAATTGATTGAATGACTCGAACGAAGTACATAATTAAATGCATTGAGATCGTATCAGTAGATTAAACGATTTTAGACATAAATTTGTTTGCTTTATTTATGCGATATTGTTTTAATTGCGTAAAAAGCAAGTGAATCGTAACGATTTTTGTGATGAAAGCCAAAGATAAAAGTCTTTGTATTTTGAAACATTACGGCAGTAAATCATTAATATGTTTATGATTTAATTATTATTAAAGTTTCAGCAGCAAAGAGACACAACTTGTCTGACTGGTTTATCAGAACATCTTCGTACTTCTCCCTAGTGATTTATCTGCCCTTGTTTATTCAATATTTTAATGGCAAATGGTGGGTTTCTAATGCTAATCAAATTAACCGTGAATTTCTATGCGTCAATATAAAACACAAAAATACGAATTGTAATTTTAAACAAATTCGGTTATATATAGGATTAGCCGTAAGCAACACGCGAGTACTATGATCGCTATGATCGGACATCATTTAATGTCTTTCATTGAATATTATTTAAGCGTCAGACTGAAATCAATTTGTAGCAAAAGCAATTAAAAGGAAACATGGTTACGTGGTACGGACCACAAGATGACATTATGGACTGGTACCATGTCCGATAACAACAGGTGCTATTTGCAACTTCCGCCCTAAATGACTTTAATCTAATGGTGATTCACTTAAATCTGTCAACAATCAAAAGGTATTAAAGGCTTGACATCTCATCCGTGAATATTGATAATAAAAATTAATGTTTACCACAATTTTTTTTTAAATTATAACAATCCTTGCTGCCTTCAAGAATTCTAAGCATATGGTGCTCAACTGATCAGAGTTAAAATACAAGTATATCTTAACCTTGCATAAAAAAAAACTTGACGTTGCAATAGTTTAATTCCCAATAATTTGTACACGACGTGACGTTTCAGACACATGTCGCGTTCTTCACTTTGAAGAAGGATATATATTGAGTGAGAAATCTAGCAATCTAGGAAGTTAACTTTTAGGAATGGACAAAAAACATTGTTGACGCAATTAACAACGGAAGCAAAAGACATGTTTTTACCTCAACTCTCTCTTCTTTTAAATCAATTTTCATGGCAAGTTCTTCCCTTAACATAACATCTGGATAGTGAGTCTTGCTAAACGTCTTCTCGAGCTCTTCTAGCTGTTCCTCTGTGAATATTGTTCTGTGACGTCGTTTACGTTTGTGTCCAGCTCTAACAAAATCTGCTGGGTTAATCAAACCTGGAAGGTGGCCATATGCAGCTGAAATTGCAAAAAAACGAATTATAACTTGAATTGCTTTATTCATAAACATACAATGCACTGTAGAAAATAAATTGCATAACCTGTTACAAAAAAGGAAATATGTGAATGAACGTGTGGATGTCTGTCTTTTTTTTGTTATCTTTAGGGAATCAACTGGCTCGCTTGTCCTTTACCTGTCAGGATTTTACAGATTCGACGAATGTTCATATACTAGTAATGGGAAAGTAAAGTTACCCGGATGAAAAGAAAAAGGGAACCGGGATATCTAAATTTGCATTGGTAACATTATCCTTAATCGTTATTATTAAAGTTCGTTTCTTCCTTTGTTAAATTAAGGGGATGTGACCTGATTGCCAATGCCAACTATCCACCAGAGTTCTAATAAAAAACAACCATAGGTCACCGTACGGCCCGTTCCACAATGAAAAAACCATACCGTATAGTCTGTTATAAATGGACCGACATGACAAAATGCGAAACAATTCAAATAATTCATGTCGTATTTTGTATGCGATCATCCTTGGTTCGGTAATTGGAAATTGGTATTATGTTTTGTGTTTGTTTGTTTGTTTGTTTATTTGTTTGTTAGATGGGAACTTGAGAATGAGTTGCACATTTGTTAAATTTGAATAATCGAATGCATTTTAAGCATTTAAAGCAAGCATCAAGTCAAGTAAAGTAGAATCGGTGATGAAATATTAATTGGCAGACACTAAGGAGACTTTTACGTTATTTTTTTAAAAATCATTCTAATGATAAAAGATAGCATCAGAATTTCGGAATTCGATTATGAAATATGAATGTTATACAGTAATATGTGATATATAGCTAGTTATTTCCCGAATTAGTAGTCAATTATCTATAATAATCCCCCAAAATATTGTTATTCCAATTGATTCAATCATTTTATGAAAACTAAAAACGAAACATCAAACGAATAAAACGAAGTTATTTATATGATATTTTAATCCAATAAAATGAGTTGGTGTTGGCCTAAAATGTAAAACAAACATTTTTACTTCTATGAAATAATCATGTTTATCCGTTAAAACGCTATATAGGCAAAATATTTAATTTTCTAAAGAGTATACATTTTTCTAGTGGGATAATCCGTATTATAATCAAAAGTCATAGATAATCCGGACTAGTGTTAGCGAAGCTGTATCAATAATATTGTTTATCTAGCTGTAGTTCAACTCTTTAAAGTTGCATACTTCATTAATTAATCTTTGTAAGATCGTTTGCGAATTGTCTTAATTATAATCCAATAAATAAATATAACTCGATATCAGATTAGTAAAATTGATGCATCAATATGTCTTTTATGTTTTCCAATCCGGGCATTATTGAAAATATTTTAAATGGCTCTTATCAAATCTCTCTCCTCTTTCTAAAAAAATGATTTAGGAAATTTTAATAATAATAATAATAATAATAATAATAATAATAATAATAATAATAATAATAAAAATAATAATGATAATATATCTAAGCATTTTATTCAAAATTGATATTGAATTTCAAAGAATATGCTGGCATCTTTTAAAAAAGCTGTGGGCAATACATGAACATTTCACTTTCAACAATATTGTTATTATTTTATTACACGACGTAAAACATTTCACTGTCACCTTATCACTTGATTCCCCGTGGTCTTTTTGTCACAAATCTAGGATGTAAATTTATTTGGAATGGTTAATTTGCACCTTATCCTTCACGAGAAAACATTTTATGTCTTTGATAGGAAACCTAAAACTATCTTTACATTATAGGAACAGACAAATCCATACAAGTGTTGATTTGATATAAAACCCATTAGTTGTTTGAAAGTTTAGTCGACGACAAATTTTCAAAAATGACTTTATAAAATGAATTAACTCCATAAATCATGTAAAACCATCCGAAGTTAGATTTTAGAGGAATTCTTTAGCATATAATGTTCCGCGTTCATGTTACTACACTGTCTAGGACTTCTAGACATATATATGGAAATTCCTACGGTACTTAATCAATTTTCTTAATTTGAGAAAAATGTATAATGGACTATTGGTCAGATACTTAAGTCAGTTATCAATTATTTCAAGGACACACTTTAATACTACCTATCTCTATACATATGAAATATATCAAAATGACTTAATTGGGTGCAACATTTACCGATTTGATCTCTTTACACGCAATTGGCTTTATTATTTCTTAAGACATTAAAAAGGTTAAGAAAGAAAGAAAATCACGACACAAAACAAGTCTAATCTGATGTTCAGTAGTTGTCGTTTGTTGATGTGGTTCATAAGTGTTTCTCGTTTCTCGTTTTTTTATATAGATTAGACCGTTGGTTTTCCCGTTTGAATGGTTTTACACTAGTAATTTTTGGGGCCCTTTATAGCTTACTGTTCGGTGTGAGCCAAGGCTCCGTGTTGAAGACCGTACTGTGACCTATAATGGTTTACTTTTATAAATTTTGACTTGGATGGAGATTTGTCTCATTGGCACTCATACCACATCTTCTTATATCCACTAAAGTTAAACTACGTACAATTTAGACAATATACATATCAAAATAAAAAAGAAAGGATATGGTGTATCCATCCATGACATAAATTCAGTACATGCACAGCAAAAACCACACAAAGTAAAGAAACAGCGGTTTAGTTGATTTTTGCAAAATGTTTAAACTTAAAAAAAATAGAGGTGAAAGATACCAAAGAGACGTTCAAAACTCGTTAGAAAACGAACCCCCCCCCCCCCCCCCCCCAACGACAGACGACCGTAAAAGACAAACAAGTTTACACTACAAAGAAAACCACATACGCAAATCACAAACCCCCACCAAAAAATGTGGATTTTACTAATGTCCAAATTTAAACTACATCAAGGAAAAAGTCTCTCATAACTTTCAAAAGAATGGCAAATTTATTTCATCTTTGTAAATTGTTTGTTTCATATTGTGCATATACTTTGAATCTTGAATCGTGCGATCTTTTCTGTAGTTACCTTGTGCATAACAATCACAGTTTAGATTTAAAGAAAAAAAATAAGTAATATATGTAAATAAGAAATATCAAAAATAAGTAATATATGTAAATAGGAAATATCAAGTGTATTTTAACTTTATGACTACTTTATAAATTAGAAAGTTCCACTTACCAAATATGTCGTGAGGTGTCGGCGGAAGACTTGGATATGGAAAGTACGGCCGAGGTGCAAGTAATGGTCTCGGTGCCAGGATGTTATCTATACTGAACAATGAACTATTCCCTGCTGCTGCTGCAGCAGCCGCTGATAAAATGCCATTGTGGTAACTTTTGATCTGTTCGGGACTGCAGTAATATGGTAAATGATGCATCTTCAAAATGTTTCCTTTTTTCAATATAAGTCACTTCAAAATGTTTTTTTTTTTTTTTATAAAAGTCACTTCCAACAATTAAAATTCACTAATACAGCTTTCACAATTTTTGTCGTACTAATGTTAATAAAGCTGAATTTTAAATAAATTGAAGAATAATGATAAACCGTGGAATCCTGTCCATTAACTAAAAAAACATCACACTTTCCTTTATTTAGATAATCTTAAACTCGTTAAAATCACTTTCAACTATTGTCCAAGTTATGATTGATCGGCGGTTTTTGACCAATAAAATTTTGTAAATATTCTTTGAAAACGCCTACTTTGTTACAATAAACAGAAATTTGTGTCTGTTGGGCATATTGTTACTCAAGAGAAACTGTAAAAATTATTGGTGTATAACGGTGTTGATTTTATCATAAAATGTTATATTGAATTTATTTCATGTTATTAGTATATGATTTCACGCATTTGAAATTTTTTTAACAAAATTTTAATAAAATATAAACTAAAGGGAAGTTAAGCAATTAAAATGTTAATTTTATCTTAAACGTTGCAAATCATCACAATAATTTAGATTTTGAGTGTCATTAATTTTATTCGATTGAGTTAATTAGAAAATATATGCAATTTCATACGAAATTAAAGCTAAAACTGAAATATCTGATCCGTTTTTGATAAAGTTGCGTTTAATATTTTATCTCAATGATTCCTTATCATTTTTAAATCGGATTGATGCTAAAACATATCGCAACAGACGTGACATAAAATATGGACTTTGCTTAATTTTTCCTTACTATTGATCATGTTCAGACTTGAAGTTTCGAGTGAATATAATAATAATAAAACATAAAACCAAAAGAAACAAATAAACAAACACACATTGACGGAAAAAGCAAAGATGTTTAACCGTAACAAAAATACGTAACATTAAATCCTTTGAGATTTACGTGTTTGTCACCTTTTAAATTGAAAACGAAATGTCATAAATTGGTATGCCAAATAATAACGTTAAAGAACAGCACCAACATATGGCCATCATCGCCCTACATTAATGTTTATTGTATAGTGTTGTATTTGTTTCTCTTGAGGTACACATTCATATTGTACAACAAATGATGCATAACTACTTTCATTTTTAAGACCATGGTTGTTTCATTGTAATTTTTCATTTTTGTAGAATATCACTGCTCCGGAATATCAGTTATAAAAGCAGAAAATCATTATAACAAGTCCGTTTTTCATCGTGCAGAATACAATTAAAGACCGTTTTCATTTTGAAAGGCAGCTTTACTACACGGATAGTTTCATATCACAAAAGAACACCATAAGATGGCAATGTAATATACAACACTATTCTGCAACATAAACAACTATGGTCTTGTTGTTTTTCAAAATTAAATGGCCATGTAATAATCCAAAAATAAGAAGATGTGGTTTGATTGCTAATGAAACAACTATTTAAGACCAAGGAACAAAGATGTGATACGATTTTTATTCTTAGAACAACACTGTCTAAGTGTCATGTCATTATTACAATGTCAATTTTATCTTGCAGAACATTTAAGCATTACAATATCATTTTCATCTTTTTGAACATCCATATAACAATGCAATTTCAATCTTTCAGAAGATAATTATTACAAGGTCATTCAATCTTGCGGAACATTACTATTCCAATACAAATTTCATCTTTCTAAAAATCATTATTACAATAACATTTTTGTCTTTCTAAACATCAATATAACAATACCATTTCCATCTTTCTGAACATCCATATTATAATGCCATTTCTATCTTTCTAAACATCCATATTACAATACCATTTTCATCTTTCTAAACATCCATATTACAATACCATTTTCATCTTTCTGAACATCCATATTACAAATACCATTTTTATCTTTCAGAACATAATTATTACAATGTCATTCTATCTAACGCAACTTTATTATTACAATACCATTTTAATCTTTCTGAACATCATTATTACAATTTCATTTCTATCATTCAGAACATACTTATTACAATTTATTCTTTCTTGCAGAACCTTATTATTACAATACCATTTTCATTGACTGAGCATAATTATGACAATGCAATTTTTATCTTTAAGAACATAATAATTACAATACCATTTTCATCTTACTGCAGGAGGACAGTTTTGTTGCAAGGTCATTATTGACTTCAGCCATTTTTAAAAGGGGGAGTTCCAACCATATGTCCCCATTCAAAAGCATTGATCGTCAAAAAGGGGGTTCCAACCCCCGGAACCCCACCCTACCCCCTGGATCCACCACTGGACTTACAAGACGGTATTGTACATTGTCCTTTTGTCTGTAATGGATAGTTGTCTTATTGGCAATTTCAAGTTACCAAACATGCCTATTTCTAAATTTTATTATCTATGTCAAAGAACAACGTTGATAAAAGTCCCCTTTCATCATGCACAAATGCACTGGCAAAGACCATTTTAGTCTTCATCGACATTAATTTTACAAATATCTGTCTATTGAATAAAACTGCATTATTTCAAAAAAATTAAATAAGGATATGTCGTATTTTGTCAATGAGCTTCTATTCAACTGAGTCTAAATATAGTGATTCAAGCAACTATAAGTCACCGTACGGCCTTCAACAATGAGCAAGACCCATACCGTATATTCAGCTATAAGAGGCCCCAACATGACAAAATATGAAATAATGCAAACTAAAAAACCAACGGCCTGATTTATGACAATAAGATAAACGAAAAACAATAACGACAGACACCAACCAACGACAACAACTGAAATGCTGGCTCTTGACACTTCTGACAGGCACATATGGAATGTAGTGGGTTTAAACATGTATGCACGCTCAATCCTCCCCTAAACTGTATCATATCAATGTCATTATCTAAATATATATATCTCTCAAAACGTAATTAAGCACCAGGCTTTTTCATCTTACATATTAACAGCTTTGTCAGAAGACCAATTTTTCCTAACGTAACGGTATTGTTTCCAAGTCTTTTTCCATCTTATACATAGGCATTTTTATCTTGCAAAATAGCACTGTTATTCATAGCCGTTTTGACCTTGCAGAAGAACATTGCTACCAATAGCCATTTCATCTTAATTGCAGAAGAGCATTGCTAGCCATAGCCGTTTTCACCTGGCAGAAGAGCATTGTTACCCACTGTCATTTTTATCTTACAGAAGAGCATTCTTACCCACTGTCATTTTTATCTTGCAGAAGAGCATTGTTAACCAAAGCCGTTTCATCTTGCGGAAGAGCATTGTTATCCATAGCAATTTTTGTCTTGCACAAGAGCATTGCTACTAATAGCCATTTTTATCTTGCAGAAAAGCATTGTTATCCATAGCCATTTTTATCTTGCAGAAGAGCATTGTTACCCACAGCCATTTCTACCTGCAGAAGAGCATTGTTACCCATGGCCATTTTCATCATGCAAAAGAGCATTGTTACTCACAGCAATTTCATCTTGCAGAAGAGCATTGTTATCAAGATAGCTATTTTTATCTTGCATGGGAGCATTGTTACCCATAGCCGTTTTTATCTTGCAGAAGAGCATTGTTACCCGCAGCCATTTCATCTTGCAGAAGATTATTGTTACCCATAGCTATTTTTATCTTGCAGAATAGCATTGTTTCCAATAACAATTTTCATCTTGCAGAAGAGCATTGTTTCGCATATTCATTTTCATCTTGCAGAAGATCATTGTTCCAATATTCATTTTCATCTTGCATGTTCTAGAAACTTTTCAATATCTGAGAAGAATATGCATTTCGGAACTTTATACCATAATATTTCATGTCAAACGAGACAATTTTTCCTTTTTAATTGTTTATTTGCTTTTCCTTAATGGGACTCATTTTAATAGATTATATATTTTTCAGCTAGTTCGATATTCACCTGTCTGCAGTTGTCTCGGACTGTGAATTTCATTACTTATAATATTACATCAGTAAATACAGATATAATTTTTCTCTCAAAAATATACGAATTTGGAAGTATGATTTCATTTATAAAGGATATCATCAACTGACATTATATTTTACTCAGTTAGTATTTTTGTGTGGTTACATAATATATTTACTTATTGATAGTTTGAATGACGACTTTTAAAATCAACAATTATAGAATTATAAAAATCCTATGGTGCAGTAAAATCGGTATCGTAAAAGTTATCACTACCATTGGGACGATACCTCTGCTAGTGGACTGTTAGTAATCGAGAATATCACCAGCCCACCCGTAGCCAGTACTTCTATATTGGCATGAACATATCTATAATCTTTTATCAAAACTATAAATTTTTGGAGACCATTTGAAATTAATGAATGTATCTCTCTCGTGCATAGCTGTGATTCCAAATCCGGGTTTGGCTTTATTTATTTTTTTTGTTTCATCACTCTTCTTCGTTAATTTCAGGTATTGGGTTTTCAATAATTTGGCATCGAGAATCACTGTAGGTATATAAACTGTCGAAATGCGTACCTGGTGCAGTACAATTGGTTCCGTTAAAATATCATCAAACTTTCCATGATAAGCAAATTGCATATACTGTAGAGCTGATGAAAGTAAAATACAAAAGGTAAGCAAATATATTGAATAGATTGATTTTAATTATACTTTGTCCCAAAAATATGTCCTATGAACATACTCTAGAAAAGAAATGTACGTTATTCTACTAAAATTTTCGTTTTAGTTGTTTAAAAACCGAATTCTAGTTTGCTGTACAGACGATAACAACTAGTAAGTAAAGCATATAGCTTCATACATAAATATATATTAATTATATGTCAAAATCAATCGTCATTGACAGAAATTTAAAAAAAACACAGAAATCGCATGTATCCATCTTAGTATTCGATAACCAAAATATTATACCGTTTGATTTGGTCACTCGAAAGAATACGATACTTTGTCGATATCTCGTTTCTTAGCTCCTATCTTTTGTTCGGCTTTTTTCTAATTTCTAGCTTACATAATTAACATTTGTCTAGTGTTTATTTTGGTTAGTACTCTATAATATCAGGATTATAGACAAACTTTATGTGAATGCTTTTATTCTCACCAAATGATTTAAAATACAAAAGTAAACATTGGGTAAACAAATTCGATTTCGCTGGTAGGTAGTTCATTTGTTCTTGACGTAGA